AAATATATATAAATATATATATATATATATATATATGAAAACTATGTGCATGTTTGACTATGTTAGAGCCAGATCAGTAACAAAGACATTCAATGTTATCTAGAGATCTTCCTCCTCTTGGGTTTTGGAGGCTTCAACTGTCTGTCTCCCTGTGGAATCTGATGCACCTAGGAAAAGCAAAAAGAAAGCCTTTAGGGATTAACAAGTAATGAAAGGACAGTAATGAACTACCAGATAACATTACTAAAATTCAATTCACATGTATTATCTGAAAAGATATCTGACTCAGCTAGATTAATTTTATTGCAGGCTAGAATAAAGATACAAACATACCGAAGAGCTGCCTATTTCAGTATATTGAAGCTAAACCTATATACATATTCATGGTTTAAATTCTAAGCCTCTTCCCCCTGTCTTTGCGAGTCAGTGGATATTTAGCCAATTTTTGGCTGGATTTGAGAGGTACCTGATATATGTTCATAAAAATTCTCCCCTAATCTGGCAACTATTGGTTCTTGCCTCACCAGTTTCATTCCTTACAGCACCTCGCTGATAGTCAGGAACATCTAGAACAATATATCATACAGCATCCTGGGACAGGTTTCCAGCTATGGATAGAGGTAGAAAAAATCACAGACCTTTCCCACATGTTGAAGGCCCTGGGACTTTTTAATGCATATCGTATCTATTGCAACGCACAGTAATGCATATAGACTACTGCAATGCGCTCTACATGGGGCTACCCTTGAAGAGTATCCGGAAGCTTCAGCTGGTCCAGAATGCAGCCGCGCAAATTATTTTTGGGGCCTGAAGGAAATGCATATAGACTACTGCAATGCGCTCTACATGGGGCTACCCTTGAAGAGTATCCGGAAGCTTCAGCTGGTCCAGAATGCAGCCGCGCAAATTATTTTTGGGGCCTGAAGGACCCACATAACATCGTTGCTCCATGAGCTACATTGGGTACCAGTTTGCTTCTGGGTCCAAGTCAGGGTGTTGGTCATCACCTTTAAAGCCCTACATGGCATGGGACTAGGTTACCTGAGGGACTGCCTCTTCCCCACGACTTCAATCCATCCCACCTGATCACACAGAGAGGGCATGCTCTGGACCCCCTTGGCAAAAGAGCTCTGACTAGCGGGGTTCAGAAGGCGGGCCTTCTCTGCTGTAGCCCCTGCCCTTTGGAATATCTTGCCCCTGGAGGTGAGATTGGCCCCCTCCCACCTGGCCTTTCAGAGGGGTTTGAAGACCTGGCGCTGCCAGCTGGCCTGGGGAGGGGAGGGAAGTTATCAAGTGTGGGGCTGGCTAGTCCCTTAGAGGCCTGCTGTTGCTGCCCTGAACCATTGGCCTCCTGGACTTTTTCCTTCATCTTTTGTAACTGTGTATAGGCTTTTAATTGTATATTTATTTATTGTTTTTAATGAATTGTGAGCCGCCCAAGGTCCCCCATTGGGGGGAGATGGGCAGGGACAAATTTAATAAATTAAAAAAAAAAATCTAGGGGGCCAATTTGAGCCAACTCATTACTTCCATTTTAGATCTGATATATTTAAATCTACCTAATGAATTTATTGGGAATGTGTATTTTGAAATGTTATGCTCATTATCTTAAGCACTGCACAAAATCTATTTTCTGTAAACCTTCCCTTACTTCTGTGCTTCTGTTCCAGCTATGTGCTTCTTCACAAATGTTAGGCAGGGGGAGCCTTTATCCTCCCTGTTTCTCCACCTTCAGCTGTAACCCTGAAAAATTAAACATTCTGTACGAAATACTTACATTCCCAGACATTTTGTCAAGTTCACTCATGGCCTCATGGATAGCAGCTTCTAAATGGTTATTTAGCTTCCCACTTCTAAGATGAAAACAGAGGAATAGACTTACAATAATGCGATAACTTTTCAGTAGAATATGCTGTTTAAAAATATATATTACAACTTCAAATAACATTCCATTCAGCTTTTTAATAATAGTGAGAGACATTTTACTTTGTATATTTTCAATTTAATATGCATATACACACACATACAGGTAGTCCTCAGGTTACAATCATTCATTCAGAAACCGTTCAAAGGTACAACGGCACTGAACAAGTACTTACGACCAGTCCTTGGAGTTCCGGCTGTCAGTGTCCCTGCGGTCATGTGATTATAAGCTGGGTGCTTGGTGCCTGGCTTGCAATTATGTTGCAGTGAGCTGTGGTCAAGTGATTCTAATTTCCAATGTTCCCTGCCGGCTTCCCACAAGCAAAGTCAATGGGGAAGCCGACAGGAAGTCAGAAGTCCTCACTTAATGATGGTAATGGGGACTGCTGAAGTTGCCATTGCTAAAGGATGTGATCACGTGACATCACACTTTACAACCTCATTGCTTAGTGATGGCAATTCCAGTCCCAATTGCCATTGTTATTCATGTGTCTTCTCTAATTGTTCCTTTTTTATTATGACAAAGGTGTCATCTACATACCGGATCCATACTTTTGGTTGTATGTGTGGGAGTGCTATAGTTTCTAGACACTACATTACAATTTCTGCTATGATTCCTGAGAATGGTGATCCCATTATCTGTCTGTCTGTCTGTCT